ATATTTGCGGGAAATGAAGCTCTAACTGACCGAATAAAAACCTATATAAGGATTAACCATAGACAACAAAACTCTCAGTACAATCTTTTACGTAAATTAAACTAGAAAAACTTGACTCAAAAAGGAGGTTATAATCCCTACTGTAGGATATTATGGCTAACTAAACAAGACAGTGTCATACACAGACTTTTGATTGAGGCGTCTTCCAAACCCTCGGTGGAAAAGCACCACTTGACTATTCTTCATTTTCTGTTGTTTGTACATGTCCGTATATCTTTACTCATATTTCCTAGAGAGGACACTGGAAAACTTCATTTTATGCCAATTCTATTAGGAGATTAACTAATTCCAGCAGGTTTTGAAACTCACTTTGCATATGGCTTGTTCATAAGGCTCTAAATCCGTATGCTATGCGATTTCCTCAGCAAATCTATGTATATTTACATGTCGCCTTAGGCGGATTCTCAGACGTTCTTGAAGATTTTCGATCGATATAGGACACATTTTCTACCTTTGGAGCAGAATTAGTAAAGTCGAAAATAGCAAACCACACAATAATCGGGCGAATCTCGAAATTGAGCAAAGGACGAAATAATCCCTTCCCTCCGAGTTGGAGAAGGACGTAAATTCCAAAAAATGACCATTAAACTATATTTTATGCATTAGTTCCATGCACTGCGGCTTAATTTATGCGAGCGCCGAAAATCGACTGACAAAATGCCAAACACCACAGCAGTTTTTCGAGTGACTGAAAGTGTGCTCAACAAAAACCGTTGATCTGCAGAGCATGCATCAACTCTGGATTAGACCCCATGCTACGGGGTACGACATTCTCACTAAAGTCAGTTCGAAAGATTTCGATAACTGTTGCAAGAGGTTCTATGCACACTGTAAGTATAACGATCCATTGCAGATCGTTCTTGTGACAAATGCGATTTCTCCTCGAGCTGCTTTACTTCGGAAGGACTGGAAAATCTCATAGGAGAGTCTCAAATTCTCCAAGTTTCAGCTAGTCGGCCTTGTAAAGTCATCACAGTAGTGAACGTTGCGAGAGGCGATTAAGGAGAGTTCTGTGTGATAAACATCTGGTATACCCAGAGAGTCTAGTTACCGATCATTAGAAGTTCACCCTAAATGACCTCGTCGGAAGAAGGTACCGATCATGAGCTGACAATCATGGGAGTTTGGCAAGCGGCAAAACATAGATGGTAAGAATATTGAGTTTACTCACCCGACGGTTCGGATACGTACACGGAATGAGCAACAGGGGAATTCACTCATTGAGAAAATATAAAGCATTTTTGGAATAAAACTGCTGAACTGCCTAATGCTAGCTAATTGGTAGGCTGCGTTCGCAGAGAGGGCTCGGAAGGCGACCCTGGCCGGCAGCTACGGCATGCTGAGGTGTCAGGGAGGCTATCCCAACTGCCATCATATTTCTCTTTCCGGCATCCCGGCGTACACGTTGACAGAATTGCTATTTGATAGTCCTGAGGTATAGACGATGAATAATCGTTATCTCATGACTAGATCTACAGTATGTGCTGGGCCTCATAAAACACTGCTCAAAATTCGTAACTGTCGCAAAATAGAAAGAAGTAGCTCCTATAGCGTGGTCGTAATGACTTTCCAAGCCAACAGCAATGATAGCAATAGGCAACACGTCAAATCTTAAGCGATGTAAATTTCAGGTCTTTGCTCTGGGTTACTTAAAGTTAGGTAGGCGTTTCTCATTTATCCTCATGCTATGACCGTTCTATTGCAGTCTTACCCGCTTCAGCATGGTGCGAATAATAAGAACGCCAGTTTTTCCAGGATCTCAGTACCTGGTATCCTTTTTTGCCACTTCGCATTCAATATTATCCTGAGACAGCTGAGGTGAAGGTAGTTGAGTGTCCTTTCTTGGCTCTCGTACACAATCCCCGTCTCCTACCCATACAAGATCGTCGCCAGGGCAAGAGTCATATACATCCTCAGTTTTGTTTTGAAGAGGGTGCCGGAATACTTTAACTGGCAGTAGGCCGGGATGACTCTGCAAATGCAACCTCAAACTTCGTCTTCAATCTTGATTTTTATGAAATCCTTCTTTCAATTTAGGCGGATCTGTCCCCAGATGCGATAAAAGTTTCACTAGCATCATTTGCACCGGTTGACGCATGACTACTGTCATCTCCGTGATGACGCTCAGGCGGAATTTGGAGCAGCCGGAATCGATAAAGTCCAGATCAGACGTGGTCATTTAGCCCCACCTGAAGTAAACAAACCCCAGTCACCTGCAATATGGGACCGGTGGTAATAGGGGTACTTACAGGTGCGGCCGGAAAACGCACAGGCGACGAGGTCAAGTATTTGTGTACAAAAGAAAAGCTATTGGGAATGCGCGGTTGTACTTTAAGTGGTTAAGAAATAGTTGTCCTAATCCCTAACCATAACCCCTAACCCTAACCCCCAACTCTAACCCTAATCCTCTAACCGTAACCCCTGATCCTCATCTCTCACCCTAACCCCAACCGCAACAGTGTTGTGTCCATCAGGTGGGGCTACATATCCACACCTTACCGAGGTCTACACTCTACTGTATGCTCTCTTCCGTTGTGGTGTTTAGCGCGCAGACATCCGTGAACAGGAGGTTGTGGACGCTGGCTTTGGATACCTACGAAGGTGCTCGCAGGTGACAGATCCTGTGCAGTTTCCCGTTGGTTGATGTCGATCGCTGGCCCTTCCTCACGGTAGGTATCTGTCGTAATGGCGGAGGACATGAGGCTGAATAGGGTGGAAGCGAGTATGCGACCTTGTTCCACGCCCTGGTCACTGAGACTACTTCAAGGACGCCACCACCGTCCACTTATACAAATGAGAGAAACCGGCAGCCATGTGGTTATGACAGAGTCATTGCTTACGCACGCACCCTCTCTGTTTATATTCCATTTACTCCAGAATCGAGCACAATTACGCATTAAAAGTAAAGGATTACTCAGATAATACAAGCGTTATTTGGAACATCTATTTCTTGGCGACTACCTCTACTGGGCTTATAGTGGTATGCGAAGACGATCACTTGCTGGTACCTGAAGACCCTGAAAGGTCGTCTAATGTCAAAGTCTGAATAAGCGTTTAAATAATACAATTTTTAAGGTATTAAATAGGTTGCACATTGGACAATTAAAAAAAGCAATATGAATATAATCATTAAAGGCGATCTAATTGAGAAATGATACTCTAAAACTCGTCTTTTGGTGCTGGTTCACCTTCTCCAATGCTAGGAAGTGCAAATTAAATTTGGATCATGTGAGAAATGACAATTCCAAACCGTTTTTGGGCGTAGAATACTTAATACTTACTCTGACTTCCGAAACTTACATGAGAGTCCATAAA